GAAAAGGAATCCCTCCAAAAAACTCTTACACCTGTATGTCTTTTTGATCCCCCTTCCTTTTCCTCCAATTTATACAAAAAAAATTGTTCCCATTTCCACTCCACTGTCTTCTCAAATTTTATTAAAATGCAAGCTCCCTTAGGGCAAGAATTTCTGTTCGATTTAGTCATTGCCGAGTCCAATCCTCCTCAAACAGTTCCTAACACACTGGAAGGGCTCCATAAATATTACAACGTCATCCAGGTACTTAAATCTGAAACCCGTTGCTGCAAAAATTACTGCCTCCATCCCCGTTAGCAAAGACTAAGGAGATCCCTGGGCTCCCCGGCCTCACCGCCAGGCTGGGCGGCTGCCCTTTCTCAAAGTGGCTTTCCCGAACAACACAGAGGGACTGGGGGGGTGAGAGGAAAGCGCGAAATCCTCCGTACGCGTGAAAAAGAGAAGGGCCAGACACTGACGGAGAACCACCACCCGACCCACGCAAGGCCTCACGTACAACCCAGCACAGAACTTATTCCTTCCTCCCTCCCTCGCCGGACGCTGGAGCCGTACAGCCCAGCCCCAGGGGGCCATTTCCGGCTTTGGCCGTGACGCAAAATTCGCGAGAGGAAGAAAAACCGGAAATCCGCGGCGTGCGTAGTAGAATTGCCGCCGGCCAACGCCGCGGGAAACACGCCCCCTAACCGCCTTAGTTCCGGAAGCTTTTACCTCACGAGAGCAGGTAAGTCGACGCCGCCAAGTGGTGAGTGGTCCCGTTTTCAAGTTTATAATGAAACGGAATTATTTGACGAGGTTCCCAGCTCGGCCCCGGAGAGATAGCTCCACCTCGGGGAACAACTAGAAAGGTACAGGCTTCCTAAAACAGTAAGAAAACGAGGAAAAGGAGTCGGGTCAGAGCTCACAGCGCAAAACTGAGGCGCCAAAAAATTGGCAGTGGGATATTTCAATGCAATGTTTTCAAAAAGTCAAAATTAATATAATTTAGTCTTTCCCTGAAGGAAAAAAAGAGAAGTAAAATAATACTACATCCTATAGCAGTAGCACAAACAAAAAAATTAAAATTTTAGTCACATACGAGATTCGAGCCATATTGGATCCTGAGGCACAAGGGAATATGTGCACTTGGCCCTATATTTTCATGTAATAAAAACTATTTTTCAGAACATCAAAGTACTTGAATATTGAATATTTGAAAATTAGATGTATTAAAATTCACAAAATTGTTTTAAGTTTAAATATTTTATTTATGCCAAAAATTTTTATTATAATTTTACTTTCCTGGCTTTAATAGAGGTGAACTGATAGATAATAATTTCAAAGTGTACTTCTTATTCCCAATTGCAAGAATTGCCATGTCTGACAATTTTTCTTGACCAAGTGGCCATCTTAAATGATTTTAATTAACTTCGGCTTACTGATCTTGTCTTTATTTTAAATTCTGGTTTTTTTATTTATTTTGGATTTTTTAAATATTGCATTAAAGTGTCATTAATCTCGATGGCCGCGTTTTTTGGCACCTCTTAAATTTTGCTTTATTCACCCTAATCTGGGCCCTGGTAACGAAGAGGAGTATGGAGCCCCACAGATTGCAGAATACAGGCCAGAAGGGGCTTTACCAGCCCTCTCTATCTCCTGGTCAGGGCACTGTCCAGCTTCTAGAAAAGGAAGGTACCCTCCAGATCATTCTAACATGCAAATTTCCCCTGGACCCTACTTAAAACCCTTCAATGACCCATTCTCGCCCTTAACGGAAAAAAATATGAACCACTTAATTAACATGGTTTCCAAAACACATCTTAACCCACTCTTAAAAGTTTGACTTACTAGTTGGTATTGTCAATGTAAGAAACGTCCAAACTTGTAGAGAATTTTTATGAGTTTATTGAGCTAAACTGACGCATGTGTCCCGGGGAGCAAAATCTCAAATGCTCCAGAGAATGGCAGTTTTGCAGCTTACTTTATACATTAGAATCAAAAGAGAAGACGTAAGGAAGGTGCATGAAATCCATTGGTGGTAGATTAAGGAGGCGGGAGAAAGCATCGGGGAGGGTCTCTAGGATTGGATAAAAAGCAAAATGGAAAAGCATGCTTTTACGTTGGTGGGTACAGGATAGTTAATAATTAACACAGCACACGGAAATGGTGTGTGAGGAGCAAAATAACAATAAGGGGTTCTGCGGTCTTGTGCTCTGGTGCTCGTGGTTATGCCTTTGAGGGGTAGGAAAAGGAAATTACTCTGACATTCCAAAGGTATGTTATCCCAGATGCATACTGGACAGGGCTCACTTAAGGTAAAGACTGACCTTTGCTGAGGAAGCTATAGGCCTGGGACGTGCCTACCCACCACGAAAGGAATTCGTGATCAGACCATCCTGTGTGGTCACTTTGGGCCACTGAGGTTGTCAGGCTTATTGCATAGCCCCTTTTTCATTCACAGTATATTTCTAGACATTTATCTCCATTTTGCTTCCACCGTCACGATGTTTAGTTTCTGAAACACCATTGTTAACCAGTAAAGATCTGAGGCTGTAAAACAAATCAAAAGTTTATTTGGGGTCTTAAAGGATTTGAATCCAAGTGACGCAGATTCAGGTAGCAACCCAAACTATACACTGAAAAGAATTTAAAAAGGCAGGGTTTATAAACCCACATAATGCAGTTCTTTCATTCAACTGAAGGATTGTATGTTAACAGGGATTGGTTAGTTCCAACATGCAAACATTGGGGGGGGGGGAGTGTGTGTGAAAACGACAAGGAGGGCAGTAAAGTCCATGTATGTCCACGTAGCAGCTGTTCCAGGACGTTTGTAGTCCAGGATGTTTCTGGCTGGGCCTTGAGCTGCATTTAGCAACAGATTTAGCAAGTTAATAGCAACTCTGAGAACTGAGGCCAAAGATGTGCACAGGCCCCACTTCCTTAATAGCCCCCTGACTTTTTTAAATGACTTTCTTAGCAATGCTTATTTCATTTTTTTCCATTATCACTGTTATACTGCCTTCAGGCCTTGCACAGAAATTAATCATCCCACACACCGCCAAGTTACTATTGTCAGTGCCCTCCAACAATTTCCGATTTAAAATGGGATCACCTCATAAATTATATAAATGTCTAACCACTCTGCTGTACACCTGAAATTAATAATATTGAATGTCAACTCTAATTGAAGAATAAAAACTTAAAAAAGATTTTTAAAATCCTACTTGCACTTGAGCTGTTGAGTCAAATGAAAAACTAAATTTATCCTTTCCTTCGGAGACAATTTCTCCCCTTCTAAGATCCTTGTTTGTTTTAATAGTACCAAGGTTCTCCCAAACTTAAACTTCGGAATCATCTTTAAAACTTCTAGATCACCTATGTCTATTCATCCGTATCCAATCATTTGACCCTAAAAGTTTGTTCTTTATTATGCCACTAATCTCTCTCTCATTCTCTGTATTTACAAGTACTTTGGGGTGAGGAATGTGGAAATGGTTTGTTTTTTTTTAAGCAGAATGCACTGTGCAAATTGAAAACAGACACACCTTGCAAATTGAAAATAGACCCAGTCCCTCTTATACTCAACAGTGTCTTTGCAGCTATCTGCTCTTTTGGTGACTTTCTGCCACCGTGGAGCCCAGCAGAGGAAGAGGGAGAGAGAAACCAATAGCCTGACACCAGGTGCTAGGGGAGGCTTTGAGGAACATGGTGGAGAAAGGGTCAGAGACCCTGGTAGTTGTAGCTGTCAATGCCTGAGAAGACAAGTATAACCAAAGAATTCTGGTCTATACGTTGCATACTCTTAATACTATACCTGGCTATAAATCAAGAACTGTGGCTGACCTTGCACTGCACTCACTGCAAGGGAGATAACTGGAGTGGGAAAGGCAACAGATAAATTAACTGAATTTTAAAACCTTGAATAAAGACTAGTTTTTTTTAAAATGGCAATGGGCAATATGGAACACTGTACCCCACTTAATTGCATGAAAGAACTGCCACTCCAAGACAATCAAAAATGATATGATGGTTTATTCAATTAAAAAAGAAAAACTTAAAAAATTAAGGGAAAATAAGAAAATAAGGCAGCAAAAAAGCTTACAAACCATTAACAAGCTACTGTCATTAATATGACACAACTAGAAGTTATCAAATGCCTTTATGACTAACATTATTTTGTATCAAAGCTTGGTCATTCTTAGCTTTTGAGCCTTGCAGCAAAGACCTGTTGGTACCAGCCTACTGAATTCTCTCCCCTATCTACTCATAAAATGGTGTCCAACTTAAATTTCTCATTCTTGGTTAGTTATATATTGCAAAGAAGACTGCTTTGCCCATATTTGGCTTCAGACAAGATAAAAACCTTTATTTACAATTATTCTATTTCTTTAAAAATATGTACAGAGAAAAAGGAGTTGGATAAAATATAAAATCACAGGAAACAAAGCCAAATTCTGATAAAATCAAGGAGAAATTGGTGACACCCAGAAAATCAGAACCAGCCATAACAGTTAGAAGAGGGTCAAGGCAAATAGAGGGAGGGAGAATGACGTCAGATTTCCCTCACGCCCTCTACCCAGGATTTTTGTTTCCTAAGTTGATAACCAGCTCAGAAATTTCAAGTTAGGTATAGTCTTATTTGTACCCACCTCACATAATGACGAAGTCATTTGTACTTCATAAATACAGTATCAGAGAAAGGGACTCTCTCCATTCAGAGAATACAGTAGGAAAACTACTTAAAGTGGCTGAGAATTCTTTTAGCAGTACCATTGTATGACCTGGGAAATGTTTTTGAAATCCAGGCACATTTTCTTGTAAGCCGTTACCACAATTCAAAACAGAATTGTCTTTCCGTGTGTAGGGAGAGTCACCAAGACCCTTTGTAGGTAATTAGCTAGAGTAACCTCTTAGTCCACAGGCTGCACCGAGGGCTGATTCCGTCTCTTCTTCCAGTTGAGAAGCCCTTGCTTTCCTGTTGTGCACTGTGGGTTTGAGGAGTGATTGATCAATAGGTGGTACGAGGATTATAAGAGAGAAGGGAAATGGCTGCTGGTTATTGTACTTAGGATCATTACTAATAAGAGGCTTTAATAGCTTTAGGATCTTGGCTGCAGAGGCCAAATTAGGAGTGGTTTTTGAAATCTTCGGGATTCAAATTGGTTAATCTTTCCATGAACGAGAGGAAGTCTGACACAGTCAAAATCTGTTTCTAGAAGCTGTGAGGTAAAAGGTGGGTCGGTGTGAAATGAGTTCTTATGGGGAAGGGGTCCCACAGGTGAAGCTTGAAGACTTTGCACTCTTTCTTCCTACCAGGCATTTGGTGCTTCTTGATGGGGGGGTCCCGGAGACCCCAGGGTCGCTGTGGTCTTCCCGAGGGGACTGGGCCTGCTGGGCTTCTCTGAGCTCCCTGACAATAAAAGAGAAAAAATATGTTACTTGGTCCTAATTAGAGATAATATTTATGATCAAAACTAACAGATTTTTCTTTTTCTTTCAGTATTTATTGAACCAAGCTTACGGTATACACAGAATAGACAATTCGCTCCTGATTGTCTTTAAAAAATGGCTAGCACACATGTGCCACAGACATGGCAGGTTTGGTGTCTTTAATCTTGATCGGGGCACAAAAGATCTCTAAACTTAAAAATATAAATATTTAAGGGAATAACTCTACCGGCTACATATGAAAACTGTGGGGTCCTTGAAGCACAGCCCATGGGTCAAATCTAGAGCGCCACCTGTTTTTGTAAATAAAGTCTTATTGGAAAACTTAGCCATACCCATCTCGTTTGTATATTGTCCTTGGCTGCTTTTACATCACTACAGCAGAGTTGAGTCGTTGCAGCAAAGATCACATGGCCTATAAAGTATAAAATATTTACTACCTAGCTTTTTACGGAAAAAGCTAGTGTAGACAATTTCAAGAAGGCATCTGCCCCATCTCTATGACACATGCTCATTGCTGGTAATTGCTAAAGACAGTTACCTGTGCCTCCATAGCTGGCCTCATGGAATGTACACACTACACGTTAAGAAATACTTATATTGCTGTTATAGCATATATATAAGTATTTTGTATTTTGTTTATTAGCTGGAAAAATGGGATCTAAAACTAGAGCAAAAAAAAATATATATATATATATTAAGTTACTTAGGATGCATTACCTAGAGCCTCCACAACTCATTGCCAAGAAATCATTTTAGGGACTTTTCAAATTAATCATTTTAAGATGGATTGTGTACCAAAAGAAGTTGGACTTCTAAGCTTATTTTAGACAAGGACCATTTTTCATCTCTTCCTTTTATATTTTCAATAGTACACAGTGTATGTCATAATCACTTTAAAATGCCTTCAGAACTGAAACCTGTCTGACCTTTATACCTGCTCAGCCCATCTAATTACTTTCCATTTGTTTAATGAAGGAATAGATTAATAAATGAATGTATACATGAATACAAGCTTACATGAATAAGTAATCAGACCATTTCCTTTGGCTTGGAAAAAATTCCTCTTCCTCTAAACATGTATCAAAACAGAGTATCTGCCTGTCTCTGAAATTTAACAGATTTCTAAAATAGGTCTCTTCCTGCCTTAACTATGGTTTTCCTGCTTTGGGGGATCGTTCACCAGTTACCTGAACACCTGTCTTACTCAGAATCCTACTAAGTTTTCTTTACCAGTTGTATTTCCTGGTACTCTTCACTCTGCTTCCTTTGCATTAACTGGAATTTTCTCTCTCAAACAGTCTAGTCTCCAGCCCCACCCTACAAAGAGCCTCATGCTGCTATGTATTATAACATTGGGTTCTACTTGAATCCCTAGAGAAGACACATCAGACCAGTCATTGTCACTGTGAGTAGTACACAAATAGATTCTTTCTCAACTCTGATATCCAAAATCTACCTTTCCAGGGTGGCCGTCTTCATCCTTTCCAAGTTAAGCTGCTGCTGGAGCTCTTCTGTTTTCCCCAGGGAGGGACGAAGGACTCGACTTCTGGCTAGAGCCGCTGCAGAAGGTCTGTCCGCAGGATCAGGGTGGATCATGTTCTGATGATGTAGGACCAAAAGAGAGGAAATAGAAGCTTCGCTGTGGGAGAAATCTCTCTACCCAAGCCAACCCAGCCCAGCTTCTGCCGGTGAATTTTGTGCAACTACGCTTCTTTGTGCAGAGGGAAGAAATAGGTGATGACGTAGCTCTTACTGGGACAGGAATACCATCCTTACTTGGTAGCATCCGTCATCCATACCTCTGACTTGTTTGTAAGTATCATATTTTAGAGCTAGTTGGATGCTTAACCAATCTAATGCCTTAATTTTAAACAGGAAGAAACCGAGGTCCTGAAATAAAAAGTCACTTGGCCTAGTCATTGACAGGGCCAAGACTAAAACCCAAGTCACCCAGCTCTGAGTTCAGCTTACTTTCTACCACAGCATGCTCCTTTTTCACTTGAAATTAATTAAGGATACCCTACCACGACAATATTCCTACAGCATTTATCTTCAGGCAGAGGATGCCTGTAACCTAAAATGACTTGAATACAATAGAAAATACCTAATTATTTACAGCAATTAGCAGTGTCATATAATGAAAACACCGAACCTTCCATTTGGGGACCCATGTTCAGAGCCAGCTCCGCCATTTACTACGTAGCCTTGAACGGGTCACTTAACTTTGCTAAAACTCAGTTTCCCTTTCCTGATATTTGAGATAGCAATATTCGCCTTCTGGATGGTTGTGAGAATTAAAGTAACTATACATGTTACCTAGCACGGGGCCAGCATTGAGATACTCAATAAGTATCTCCTACATTGGAGAGCAATCTACATCTAGAAATAAATAATTACACTAGGAACAAAAAACACCGGAAGGAACGGTTTGCCTTCTTTCGGGAAAGGAGAAGTGAGGAAGGACAGGTTTGTAACTAAATTTGAAGTTTTTAGGTAAACTATGAAATTGAACTTTAATCTCCATCTTAGATAATTCTAAGGCTATTTTAGGGATCCTAACTGATCCTGGTCCTTATGCCCTAAAGTAAATCTTCCATGTGCACTTTGTTTTCTTAGTAGAATTCTAGGCTTCTCGATGGTGTAGACTTTTTGTACCCTTGATTCAGTGTATGACCTTCCTTTCCTTGTTCTTATGCATACTCAGGCATCACTGAGTCCAAGTAACACACAGATTCCTGAGCTGACCTTACCTTCCTTCCAATAGTTCAAACGATTGGTGGTATTGTCGGTTAGCGATCAATGAATTCGCTTGTATTTTCTTCTATACGCTCAAGATTCAGTTTTTTTAGTAATATTCCCACAGTTACAACCCCGCAATAAGAGCAAAATGACCTGGTTTGATTTTGGAGTCAGTCAGTTATCAGAGGCGAACTAGAAGGAGCTACTCTGAGCCTCCGTCTCCTCCACTGCCCACCTCACAAAGTTCTTCAGAAGGGCAAATGAAAAAAAAAAAGTAACGTGGTTTTAAAACAGTCACATAAAAGGTTTTCAGATAGTCTCTGGGTTTCCTTGAGAAGCTTTCGGTCCTTCCTAGCCATGCTTCCTTCTTCCTTCTAACAACGTCTCCATTTCCCTTTCCCCACCTACTTGTCGTTACTTCTTTTTTTTTTTTAATGGACAGTCCTATCTCTTCTTTATTTCCTAAGATTTCACCTTGAGCAGGTCGTGAAATTCTTCCGAGAGCTCCTGCGGGACAGGCGGAAGGTTTCCCTCGCGGATGTGATGCCACGCGGCCCCATTGCTGGGTAATGGCTCTGCTCCTGCGGCCACGGCAATCGTTAATCCCAGGGCAAATATGTCCGCTTTGGGGAGGTTCCGATAGTCCTTCAAAACAGAAGATGGGAAGGCCAGTTGGTTCGCCAAGTGAAGCGAGCCTAGACTAAACAACGACTGGTAAGAAAGGTTCGTAAAGCATGAGAGCTTCATCAGACACAGCGGGCAAGGTCACACCTGCCGTGGTTAGTGCTTTACTTCTAGAGAGGGTGAAGGATGGAGCACGAATCCACCCGATGAACCCTGCTGCGCCAGGCCTGACTCCACAGACTTCCTAGAGGTGGCCGGTAACTAAAGGTCACTTCAATGACCAGAGCCGGCGTGCTAGCGAAAGGAGAGTGGCGGGATAAAGATGGGTTGAACCAATAAGCTTCCTTCCTCCTAGGTAATCGACGAGTTTAGGAATTCTAAGAAATACTAGACACAGTGAAGGACCTTTACAAAGAACAGTACGAATATTGATTAATCCATCACTGAGCCGGCTTTCCTCATGCTTTTGTTGGAAAAGTTTCTCTCCTATCTTTGGTCTCCATTCTGAATAGGAAAGGGGATGATATACATTTAAATTATACATATATACTATTAATTTCTTGTACTGTGAACCTTCGTTTGAGAGTCCAAAGGCTCAGTGGATTATAAAGTAGCCTCCATTTCTCTAATCTATACCTCTTGCAAAATCTCTTTAGCCAGGAAGTGAATATCTCCCTCTTCCACTTTGGGTTTGCTTATTGATGTCGCAAGACCCAAGTCACCTAAAAAAAGAAAAAATAGAGCTCTTTAAAAGCATGTCTTTCTCAAAACTGGAATAAATGGAGTCATCAGTACAAGTTTAATAGGATAATAGTGTACAGGTCCGGGTATAAGGCAGACTTACCAATTTTGTATATTACATTAGCAGAGAGAAACCAATCGGCTTCATTTTCAGTTTCTTCTGGGACTGCAGGAGAGTCACGCTGCATCTTATGACAAATGAAGATGTTACCTGCAAAATTACAGAACTGATGTAAGTAATGATTCCTTTGCTTTTCATCCCAAAGATTCTTGTTTATATTTGACATTATGGCCACCCTCCTTCCTCTTCTGTGTGTATAACAGGACCACAGGTTTGTTTCCTGCCCTGAAATCTCTCACACTCCTTTTGGACAGCTCAGCGACTGATAATACCTGTTTGACTGAAACTGACCTCAAACATACCCTATCCTCTGAAGAGGCTGGTGGCCTCAAAACAGAGAAATAAGCAAAAACAAAACAAAACAAAAACCCCCACAATATGGTAACATTTTCTTGGGTTTCACATTAATGAGTGCCAAACCATTCATTTCTGCTCACTTTGATCAGTGTGAATTAGAGAATGGCACTAACACGGTCATGGTATAGCCAATAATAACGCTGTCACTTATCTGCCTTGTAAATTAAATACTTATTTTCATACTTTGGCTTCACTCTCTGGGAAGGGGTTTTGTCTTTTTCTATCCCCCCGAGCCCAGGAAGAAAATGGTTAAAGCTGTTTAATTGAAATTTTTTAGGGGAAACAAAGAAAAGGATTCTGCCAGCAAACATCATCTTTGATGCTTGACAGCCACATGGGCAGACTTTGACAGCAGTGGGGAAGGCGCTAAGCACGGCCGGGGACAGAGGGGGCCGCTGACTAGGTTTGATGTCCAGGTGCACCATGCCAGAGTTGTGGATGTACTTGAGCCCAAGGGAAATCTGTAGAAGGATGTCCTTGAGTGTCAACTCTTTGAAATGATTGCCAGACTTAATGTTTTCAGATATAGCAGCCTGCAAGCTCCCACCTAGGAAAGAACAAGAAAGGTATGAACCGTACAGACGAAGGCGTAGAAAATATTCAAAAAATTCCTTGCAAATGAACTCGGTCCAGCAAGTCTAGTTTACTTCAGTGGTCCATGCAAAACATAATAATATCTTCCCCCCATTTATACCACAGACACGTGAGAAAGAATTACAGGGCTTTCAAAGAGGAAAAGAAAATGCCACATCCAGGTATCTAGTACATGGCCCTAATGCCTTGAGTATGCCCCTGTATACATTTTTAAAGTTTTACCTAATTATTAACCAGAAGACCAACCAGCCCTAGTCACGTAGCTACTATTGGTATGATGATTAATTCCACATCAGTGTCAACCTAGTAATTATAAGCCATTATTAATTTTAATGTGATCGATTCTAAGTTTACTTCCCTTAAAAATATATCATAAAATAAGAACATGTAACGATTGCTGACCCAAGGAAAATATAAAATATCAAGCACACCTAAATCCTATTTGAGCCACAGTATTTACACATCAGCTATAGACTCTTGATTTATCATTGTTATGAATAATAAGGTCTGGGCTCATTTGACTACCTGATCTTAGATGCCCCTGAATTAAGGTATTAGAATGCTTCCAAACCCTTTATATCATTAATTGGTGTTCACTGGTAGCCTCTTCAGGCAAAATAACAGAGACCCGTGTTCTCCGCCACCCCCCTACCCGCCGCCCCCGTGGTTATAAAGCCCATAGTAACACCCTTCAAGTGCAAATCAGAACAGTGGGATCTCAGATGGTAAGATGTCCTGGGAAATCCATATTTAAAAGTTTGTTATGTAGAAATTGAACTTAAAGGTTGATCTGTCATGTTAAAATACTTAAGTTCAGAAAGGAAAAGAATTTAGCCCCTTTCAGAAACACAGAAGGCTAAAGTTTGTTTTTGTTTTTTACTGTGAACCTTCTTAGGAAAGAACTTATATACTACAGGTGACATTTAAGGGTGTGTTGCAGCTTGTTAAAACAAAGTCACCCCGAGACTAAGTTTGCAGATGAGGTTACGAGCGGTGACGAGGGGAGAAGGGCTGCACCCAGGCACCACGTACACTAGAAGTTTCCCTTCTAGCCTGGGGGCTGCTTTAGGACAGGCCCTGCGTCTCATCTTCACTTTCCGAAGGTCTGGCATGTAATATTTCCTGAACTGAATGTCTATCCTGGCAGCAGAGGGGGAAAAAAAAAGACTAAGTCAAGGATCCCATAATAGGTATGGAAAGAAAGAAGCATCCCGGAGGTACCTTTCCTATGTTCTCTCAGATTACAAGCAGAAATATTTCCAGTCCCCTGAAGAGCTACGGGTACTTAGCAAGAGTAACTAGACCAGTGCTAGCACTTTTAATTACTGCGAAGCTCTGTAGGTAATATGAAATTTAGCCAGGTAATAATTAACAGTAGTAGAAGTTACTGAAAAGTACCCATTTGTGCAAAAGTATTCAAGCTGATCTTTCACTTCGTATAGAAGAGCCTAAGTAACTGTTCTTTACTAAGTAGAATTAGCAAGGAAGTATGTGTTTATAGACATAGCAACACTGAATGAACTGTGAACTTCACCCCTACTCCTCTCGTCCAACTACATTGGAGCCTTAAACCCCGTAACGCAGGGTGCCACCTGGGGATGGCTGCCGCAATGGCCAGCACTGTGCCCTAGAAGGAAACAACCAGCTTCTGGGCAGCTTCTCACACCATCTGTGAGCTGGGTTGCCGGATTCTTTCCTTTAGATAAAATTAAGGTACTTTCCTCACATGGTAGGGAAAAAAAAAAAAAAAAAAACTTAAGAAAAATGTATCTATGTTTTCCTGTCTGCTCATGAGGCTTAACAGATACCAAAACAAAAATAGCAATAAATAGCTAATGCCTTCTAGCAGTGTTAAAAAGCAGACCAACAATTTAACAGAATATTTTGTTCATACATTTATAGTCTCACAATCTTGCTTTTATGTTGCTACCCACAACGTAAGCATGTTTTTCTGCTGGTACAGTGTTCCTTGTTTGGTGGGGAATATAACTGATATTCATGGTGTTTCACAGAGGACACCAACTTCTGGATGTCACATCACCCGGACAAATGTAAGAACCCCATTCTAGAGGAGCCCGCTCTGTAAAACTTCAGTGACAGAGACATCACAAGAAAATACTGCCTTTAGGAAGAGATTAATCATCCAATCCTGAATCAGACAGAATCCCTGTGGTTCCAAAATCCACCTGCTACTGAAAACCTTCAGAGTGCAGAGGCTGACCCAGAGGTGACTTGTAGGGGATGTTGGCCAGGGTGGGGGAGGAGGAGGGAACATTTGATTGGTTCAGGGCTCAGGAGGGACAGTAGGGGAAATCAGATGATTGTCTCTAATAGTTGTAATCTAAATGATCTAATTTATAATCTGAGGTAAAAGCATAACTGTATGTGTTTCAGCTTGACTGCTGTGACAGGCTGGGGGGACCGGGGAAAGGGTGGGCGTGGGGAGGCAGGGCATGAGAAGCAAGAGATGAGAAAGAGGGAGAGGTAGGGGACGGGGTGGGAAGGGAGGAAAAGGAACGAGGCACAGACTTCTCTACTACCTTACGCATATTTTGGACTTGCCCTTTATTTAGAGCCACAGGGCAGAGTCTCAGCATGGATTATCCATAACTACAAACACGTAGGGCATGCTTTATTTCCCACGATTAGATCGCATTGGAAAGATTCGATGTATTTGAGTGACATTTTGATAAGTCAGAGTTACATTTTAATTGTTAAGTACCCAATGAAGTTAGTGGACCACCATGATGAATGCACAGTGATTCCCCATAATCTAGTCCAGAATCCTTGCTGATCTTACTTCCTCCTATGCGATCACCTCAGTACTGCTAATGACCGACTGCCTGCTCGGCCGGACCCACTCCCATTACCATCCTGCTCTTTGCCTGCAGGCTGTCACCCTAAATGGGTGTCTTCTCTCTCTTTCCCAAAACCCTAGTAATATTCTGCCGGGCCTTCTTCAAGTCCTACCTCCTTTACGAGATTTTCTCAGACTACTCTAATAGCAACTATTATTGAGTTCTTACTATGTGTCAGGTATTGACACTGCGCTAGCATTTGACACAGGTGGTGGCTAATTCTCAAACTACTCCCGTAAGTAAATATTAATCTCACTGAAGAGAGAGACAGTAAGTGACATCCCAGCGGCTGTCTGCGGCAGAGCCGGGTTTGAAAGCCCGGTCTGCCAGCGTGGAGCCTGGCCCGTTCCGCCACACCGAGCTGCACCGTGCTCACATTCACCTTCTCCGAACGCTTTTTACCCATCGTTGCACCATCTGGCTTTGCCTCGTGTGTATTTACTGTGCAACAGAGCAAGTGGAATAAAGCTCCTTGAAGGACGTACCTCATCTCACCCTAGAGCTTAATACAGGGTTAAGCTTGCAGAGGTGTGCCGATGTTGAAAAGAATTAGATGATTTGTAATAGTGAACAATCACTCCATCTTATTCTTTTTTGAATATTTGAAACCTTTACATTGCCCCAAATCAGTTTTACTTTGTTAATTTTTGTTATTTAACCTTATCTTTGTTAGTAACTAAACATCAGAGAAATAACTCCAATATCCCAATGTCCTTTACAGAGAGAGGGAAGATAGGAATAGGGAATCTCAGGTTATGATCAGAGAAAATTAAGAGAAGATGATTAAGGAAAGTCTGAGCCTTTCAGTCACGAGTATACGGAAAGGGTCCATTCTTTATCCCAAAGAGACTATTAGAAAAGGGATTTAGAGGGAACTTATTAGAGGAAAAACCCCACAAAGTTTAGAGGTAAGGGTACAAAGAAATCAGGCTATAAGAAAACAACAAGAGAAATGCCAAATTATTACTTTGCAGGATATGTGCCCCATTTTCTGTGTTTCTAGCATTTCATAATGTTACTTACTTACCTACTTGTATACTTAATTTATACAAGGATGAAGCCTTGTCACTGATCTGTCCTCAAAAGCCAGGCTGGACACACATACACAATCTGGTGGTTACTAGATTTACTCAGAGACAGACTGTACTATTAGAGAAAATCTAGGTGGGCATATGGGGAACGGGGTGTTAAGGGAAGAGGGATGCCGCTAGCCAATATTACGATGCCAGAATGTGGACCGCTGCTCCTACAATGATGGCAAGCTTCTGTTCGGTGTGTTAGCACCTTTCCGCTTTGCCACGGAACATTCTGATGAAAAATAGTTCCAAGAATAACAACACATAAGTGTTTTTATATCAACCCCTTAATCACGGATTAGAAATACGTTAAACCAGAGGAGCTTTAAGTAGCCCAGAGGGATAGTTTTATCGGTTACCATGTATGTGTGTCCCTGAACGAAAACAGACCTGAAGTCACCAAGTGTCAGTCCCAGAACCCCACCCCACGCCACGACTGGTGAGGACACTGAAGTTGAAAGGAAAGAAGCAGTAAGAAGCATGCACGATTCCCAAACTCAGGGAGCTGCTTGAAAGTTATTCGAAAGTGGGCTGTTTAAATTTACCACCCCCCAAAATTGGTAGAGAGCATGGCTTGCATCTTTTAGAATGCCTAGCAGATGGTAAAAGGATGCTTTGCTATTCAAATCACTGGGGTAAAAGTTCTCTCTCTCGGGTTAAGTGTGAAGGGAGTGAGAGCTTCTCCGTATCGGCTACACACCAGCTTTGAAAGAAATGCATACTAGCATAAACCTGAAATTCCTTTAACTCAGCTCGTTTTCTCCAGCCCTCTGCCTCCAGGGGAACCCACAGTGCAGACTTTTTAGGTGTGGCTCTGCTATCCCCGGCAGGAAGAGGCAACGATTTTTTTCCGGAGGACTTAAACGTGCACCTCCCTCTCCACAGGTGTGAGTCCACACTCACCATTGCAGTATTCATTCTGAATGATCATGTGTTCGTCTTCCACCCACGCAGAGTAGTAACGTACCACGTGGGGGTGATGACCCAGCACTGCGTGAGCGTAAACTTCGTGCAAAGCCGAATTCCTAGGAGAGAGAAAAGCATTGAGAAAAATGAATCCAGATAATGCACACGCAAGCGTTGCTGGAAGACAAGCTGCGAAGCATCATTAACCGCAGCAGGACATTGACTCCATGCTCACCGCCTGCTTACTCTTTCACCTCATTCAACTTTCATGACCACTTATAAGATACAGTGACAAGGACAGAGGCTTCAGAAAGTTCAGTGACCGGCCCCAAGTTAAGCTGGTGACAGCAGACCTGCGAGCAGAATCCTGGTCACCTTGGTGCCAAAGTCCACGATTTTCTGCATCAAACATGGCGCAGGTAAAGAGGTATTTTAGGTGGTTACTACCTCAACGGCCGCGTGCGTTAGGCCTTAGCGTTACTGTATCATAATCCAAAAACCTTGATGGGCTTAAGAAGGCGGCCACCACAGACTTGATTGTGGGTATTGTGATGGGCCCTCGACCTTCTTTGTGAAGGTGAGATGGTCAGAGTCGATATTCAACTCAGCCGATACGATGTAGGCACAGGGACGGCCTTGGAGAGAGAGATTCATTAGGGAATGGATCCAACACAAGCGAAATGTAAGGTAGTTGGTGAATTTCAGCATAAAAATGAAGAATTCCAAAGTCTGTAATTTCAGATTCAGCATAAGTATTATAGCCCCACAGTTCATAAAAAGCATTGGCTAGATCTGAAATTGGTGGTTTTCCTTGGGAAAAAAAATTACTTCTGGGAATGAAATTTAAATTTCGTGTTAACTTTTCCTTGTTGCCTTTGAAACTTGACTATTGGATTCATTATTAATACAAAATAGACAAACCAGTGAGTTAACAGCTTCCTACTTGGCAATATTTCTGATGAACTAAATAGGCACCAGAAGATCATTCCATAAATCTATTTATTTGGAAAAAAGCAGTAAGACCAGAAAAGCCACAAAAACCACACCCACACACACATACACACACACACACACACACACACACACACAACAGGCCTCAAAATGATCATGGTATATTTTAGGATATAACCTCTCTGATTTGGAAAACTCAAAAGTGTTTGAATGTGATACAACATACAATGGAGGGGGTGGGATGATTTTAAAAACCAGTAAATGGTATATTTTTAATGACATCGTTAAAATATTATTTAAAATATTTTAACAAGAAAAAGCTTTCCAAATCCAGGTTTGTACTTCTAGTACATTTCAAAGGTACTCACTCATTTGATAATTCTGCAAACGGTCTCGTGGAACGTTTTATCGCATAAACACATCCATCCAGCCTCTTAATGCACTTGTAGACTGTACCAAATTCTCCGACTCCAATTTTTTCTAACTCCATGAATTCTTTTTCATAGCGGGAAGTCATGTCAGTTTCTCGTAGAACACACCTCTGAAATATTTTAGTAAAAAGTTAGAATAATCCTTCCTAACATATTGTGAGCAATAAAATTGAGGCATAACTAAGTTTTCGAAAAGACTTCTGAGGCATAGCCATTGGATCCTGCCTGTGTCCATATTTATGGCAGCAAGAACCTCCCCGAATGCTGACTCTCTTCTCTGTACTCTTTGAAACCTCCCATACAACTCCGCACTGACAGTTCTCTTTCCTATGTTACATTTTTTTCTATCTTATTCTCTCTGTCTGGCCATACTGTTCTTCTCGATATGTTCCTATAGGGACACATCTACTCGGCCAGAGCTACTGTCCTCAGCTGAAGGAGTAGCTGGGATCGGAGTGGAGCATACCGAAACAAACAACAAAACACTTCCCTTTGACACTTGGCTATGTGTCTCACATTCTGGCTGCTAATGTTTTTATCTTGAGTTCAATTCGCTTTCTCAAAAATCGGTCTGGAAAACAAAATTGTCAAATTGCTTAGTTCGGGTCATGTGCTCAGACATAGCAACCACTCCCCCTACTGGCCAACCAGCAACATCACTCATTGCCCTGCTAGTAAATAACCCCAGGCAAATCACTGAACTTTTTTTCATCAGTTTTCTTATCTGTAAGGTGAGGTTCATGGCAACTACTACTCCGGGTTCTTTGAAACATTACATGAGGAAGTGCGTGGTTGTGTGTGCGCATGTGTGTGTGTATGTGTGTGGAACTTAGCACAACGCCGAGCATATAGTAAATCCTCAGTAAGTGGTGGCTATGACAAGACTCCATAAACTTATATGAATCTATTGCAAGCTGATTTTTCTCCACAAAGTCAGCACTTTCCCAATTTCTCTATTAGCAAGAATTTTTCATCTGAAGTTTTAAAATTTTGACTCTTACTAGCTCTTCGCTTTCGACATCAAATACCAATCAGTCTTCATCAGCAGGATCTGTCATTTTCATTGCCCTTTGCCAATCTCAAGCTCCATTTCTTCCATGTCTAGATTTGCTATAGCTGCCAGCTCTGTATTTATCTCCTCTAAGAGTAAGAAGCATTTTGGGAAAATGACACCGTGGACTCAGACACACCTAATTGTTTCCCATTGGGATTCCAAACTTCCAATCAGAGTCCCCAGGGCCTTCTGCCAGGTGCTCACTCACTACCCCCCATCCTCATCTCAGATACCAGATAAGCCAGCTCCTCACCCTCATCACCCCTGACCTCAGTCCCTCCCCCTTCTGGACGCCGAACGTCGAAATGTTTTCGTGATATTATAAACATCTTAATGGCAATTCAGTACTCCACTGACTTTAAATTTACTCTGACATTTATTATTAGACATTTAGTACTCCCCCCTTTGATTTTATTTTTTGCTATGACAGTTAAGGCCGCAGTAAACATTTCTGGCAACAGTTTTTACAGTCTTATTAGGTTAGATTATCAAATGAGGGATATTAGATCAAAGATGGTAAACATTAGAAAAATCAATAGATATTGGTACATTTAAGAGGTAAAATTTTATGTTTAAATCTCTGGCTCATGCTTTCTTTTACTGTTCCGTTTTTTTTTACTTGGGGACCTTAGATATCTTGATTTTTCCTTCACTTCTCTACCCCATAACTATGGAATTTTCCCCTGGGTCAAAGATAGAAGCAGTAGCCTTTACTTTAAAAATATTCTGATGTAATGATTTAGCAATATACCTATCAGACACTGTCTAAGAATATAGACCTTAATGGGAGTCCAAATAAATTCAGTTGCAGTGCACATTTGCTATGAAATGTTGGCGATGGGGGTGGAGGGAAGGAAGGAAAGAAAGGAGGGAGGGTGAGAGAGAGGAGACAGAGAGAAGCCGGAGGGTGAAATGACTGTCATACAGCTGGGCCAGAGAACAACGCTTACCTTGGCAGGCAGCCCCTGTTCTACCTTGCCTTCTCCTGGACCAGCTTCCTCACTTAAAAAAAAAAAAAAAAAGTGATATCAATATACCATGCGCATTTATTGAGCCTGGTGCTATGCTAGGTTCTGAGGCTGTAAGAGTAAATAAGACAATTCCTTCCCCTCTTCAATTTATATTTGGGGACAGGGACAAATAGAAAATTTCAATAGAAGAACCTAGGTGAGAATAAGAACAAGATATCAAGGGATACCACAGACAGCACCCAATTAATTATTTCAAGAGTAAAAGTCTTTCCTAAAAGAGAGGATATGTAAGCTAGGATTCCAGGAAAGAGTAGGAACCAGCTTAGGGAAAAGGGAGGGGTTTTAGGCAACTAGAACAGCATATGCTGAGAACTGGAGGCAAAGAACACACAGAACACAGGCGAAACCGTCAGTGAAATTTGCCACCACACTACGTTCCAGCACCCACCTCCACCGGAACCTGGCTGTGCATGTCTTAGGTCACAGGCAGACTAAGTCTAGCAACACGAGCTCTGACCCTGGCTAAGACATCACCGATGACTTTTCAACAAGCCGAAGTCTCTGACAGACGTCTTCTCCGGCATGAGCAGTTGCGTTCTGGATCTTTAAGGTTTTCGTTTCTAGATCGGCCAAGCTGTAGATTTTTTTCCCTTTAGAGAAGTACACGGTAGTAATGGCAAATGGAGGACATTGCACTCATGGAAATAAATCGATGCTTGGCATTTGTGACTTAAATTTAATATCACATTCTAAACTTTATAAAACAATCAATAAGGAAGAAAAACACCCTCTCAGAAGCACTAAGTGACGTTTCTGAAGTGTCACCACTTCCTTTGCCAAGAATGCAGGTTAACTGTCTATCCTGGCCAGCTTCAGCGAGAGGTAAACCCATTAATTCTGATGGTTTGTAAATAATCCTAAACAGCTAAAACCAAGAGGATTCTTGGTAGCAAAAGTGGACCCTTTACTTGTGCTGAAGTCCTGTTTACTTAAGATCCAAGAGACAGTGCTGAGAAAACCTATTCCGGCCATCAGCTGATTAATACGTAGTGATTCCCAAAGAAACAACTCGATATAACACATTAAAGCTCTGCAAACTTCAGACTGCTAGCTGTGCATTTATTTTGCTGACTCCATCTGAGCACAAATGACTGGACCATTTAGAGGCACTTTCATTCCATAACAAAGACGCCTTGGAGAGACACAGTCAAAACACATCCCTGAGTGATGCACACAACAGTGCAGTCTGGCTTTCCCTTTTTTTTTTGCACTTCTGAAAGCAGCCCTATCTTTTCCTCGTCAGCCAATGTGCCATCGCCTGCAGAGAAGTTCAAAGGCTTGCCCCATAGCTCTCATCGCCAGTCAGACAAGCTGGACTCGAAACCGCAACATAGTCTGGGAAGTGTGAACCACACCTTCCCCAACGGCCAGTCTTCCCTGAAGCAGAGCAGAGCTCTCAAAGGCAATTCCACAGCCTGTCCAGCTTCCTGATGAGGTCACAGGTCTACTGCTGACTCTGTCTGTTCTTTCACAGAGAAGGCACCTTCCGGTGCACTTCAGAATGGAAAGATGCTAGGATCTTTGCGACAAAGCAGGTTAAAACCAACAGTGACATTTAGAAAGGAGGGAATGGGTAGCCATGTCAGGTTCATTCAGACAGGGCTCTCATTCCTAATTTTTAACGCTCTCCCTTCTTGACCACAGTAAGACCAGTTCTCAAAAGTGGCAGGCCACACAGTGCACTTACAGATCTCCTGGGGCTTTCCTCTTGCCACCGGATTGAAGGAATTGTTTTCTATAGGACTCTGGGGTGAAGGGATTAATATTAACCAAAGCCGATGAGGTCATTTCATCCACGAAGGAAACAGGCGTGAGCCTCAAATGCTTAGAGCCTCGGGAGGGGGGCTTCCCTGTTGAAGAAATAACCGACTGGCTCAGCAGGCCCTGAATGAGGATGACAAATGGCACATTAGAATGGGGTGAGTTAGAAAAACAAAAATTCTGTCAGTTGGCTAGTTAATATTTGAACCAAAGAACGTTATTGCTGTTAGGGGCCTGAGAGGTTATCTGGTTCAGTGCAAACTAGTTGCTTCATAACTGGCCCTTGTATGAAAAGCACGGATTCCCAGTCTACCTCTAGCTGTTCTGATTCATGGGATCCTCAAAGGGATATGCACTTTTGTTATGCCCCGCCCCCTTCCCCGGGGGCAATTCCGATGGCCACCTGTGAAAACCACCAGGTCTATTCCTAAAGATGACATTCAGGCTTAGACAAATGGAAGTGACTCTAGAAGAACTGGTCCTTATGTTCTCAGAGTGTACACTTTACCCTCCCCTCAGTTATTCATTAAAATGCATGTTTGCTGCCTACGAAGTAGCAGGAGCTGAGCTAGATGCTGAGGGGGGCAGAGGCGAATTCCAGCTCTTCAGGAACAGTCTGTTAGCAGTTGATGATGTTTCAGAAATGACTGCTTTGTGAGGGAAAGATTTCATAGACTCACATGGAAGAAGAAACTTCCAGTCTCGCTGAAAATGTAGCATGAAGTGAGGTAAAAAAGTGGAAAAGTAATACTCTCAGTCCTTCAGACCTCAGGCTTCGCAGTGGTGTGACCAGCACAACGGTAAACAGAAAACTGTGCGGGACTTAGCACCGCAGGTGGCTTGCAGTGAGAACACAGGCCTGAAAGCAAACCACAAAGCAGCCCAAAAAGTGTGCAGGGGAGAGGTCAAAGACCAAGAGTTCCGATGGGACAGCAGAATGACTTAAATGCCAGGGTCCAAAGGGAGACCTAGGTCACAGGTCTTCAGGAGCACAGCGGTCGACATGGGCCATGGTGTAATTCTCAGAGCGCCAGCATGGCAGGCCAGGCTCTTCCTAAAAGAACTCTGCTGTCCTGAGTCTGCCCGTGACTCTTCAACGGAGAGGCAAGTAAACTGCCAGCTGCATGCTTCAGTGCACAGTACTGGAATTAAAGAACGTGGGGCTACAGAGAATGAGCGTTGAACTTATACTCACTAGAGCAGGGCTCCCCAACCTGTGGACTGGTACTGGTCCGTGGCCTGATAGGAGCCAGGCCACGCAGCAGGAAGTGAGCGGCGGGCCAGTGAGCAAAGAGCCAGTGAGCAAAGCTTCATCTGTATTTGCAGGCGCTCCTCAGCGGCAGCGTCACCGCCTCAGCTCCACCTCAGATCATCAGGCATTAGGTTCTCATAGGAGCACCGGTCCCTGGTGCCACAAAGGTTGGGGACCACTGCACTAAGTGATTGATACAAGCAGAAATGAAGGAAGCTATAGAGTATACACAGTACCTAACATTTTTTTTTTTAATGAAAAAAATGTGGCTGCCAGAGTCAAGAGTTTTTACAAGGGTTTTTACATATGTCTTAGGGTTCAGAGGATGAATAACCCTGTGGGGGGTTGTCAGAGAAGCCGTCAGTGGCAGACTCACGATCATCTCATGAGTTTATTATAGGGCCTGGTATTGATTCAAAAGAAGTACAACTATATTTCTCAGTTGTCAACATGATTCAGGAAACGAATTTGGAATTATAGTAAATCATTCCCTGAGAAACGATGCTGATTATCATGTGGAAATTAAAATGCATCTATCACATGTGAAAAGAAAAGTATTTGTATCAGGGCAAACGATTTCAGAATTTCTGGTCTGGAAATATCAAGCTGGACA